GGGAAACGGCAAATCAACAAACTATGTTTGTCACGACGGAACTTGCGACCTTAGTCAGTTAGCGATGGCTTTCGGAAACGCAGCCCTGATCAGAGGCCCCCTGGAAAGGGATGTAGTCCTTCAGGAGCAGGTGGAGGTAAGAACGTGCAGTGGCTGTCCTGTTAGCAAACATCAGTGATTTGAACTTGAGCAGAGCTTCAAACAGTAACCAATGCAGAGCGATAAAGAGAGGTGTTACATGGTCTCTCTTTTGGCTCATTGAAGACTAAATGAGCTGCAGTCTTCTGGATCATCTGTAGATTATCATCATTATAAGTTGGTTTTTCCAACTCGGTGCTCATTTGCAAATTTGTAAAATAGTGCTTACACTCACAGTGCCTAACACATATTATTCTTTGAATTAAATGTTACGAAATCTGTGATTCACAAAGTTCACAAAGCAGCAGATGTTGGTGTGGCCATTTCCTGACCTTTCTGTGTGTCCCTGGTGCATATAGAATCATTATTTGTACTTCTCACATAAAACATGACTCGTTTGCGAGTTTCACAAACGTTAGATTTTGTGCCAGCTATGACATAGCATACGAAATGTTCTCTCGCCTAAACGTACTAAAAACCCTCTACAGATGTGGAGCCATATTACAAGGGAGGAAAAACAATTCCATTATCAAGATTCCAGAGTCGTGATGGGATATGCTAGAGGGAATGGCAATCAGTTATATAAGCCTACAATTTTTTTTAGCAATGTGTTTCTACAATAGTAAACTATAATCAGTGGTGCCTGCCTACGGCTGTCAGCACTATGCGTACCTACCATAAGAAAGCGCGAATTATAGCCTATTTATTTTATTTATTTATTTATTTATTTTTTACATAATTTAAAATGATTATTAAACAGCATACACTACAATATATATATATATATATATATATATATATATATATATATATATATATATATATATATATATATATATATATATATAGTACACAGTTCAATCACAGTTGCGTTCCAGGCAAATATAGAGACAAAATAAGAAAGAAAGAATAAATAAAGGTGTGTGTTTGTGTGTTTTGAAGTGTATACTTGCATGGTGAAAGATGGGTAAAGAAATCTCTATTGGCTTTAGTTTTGCTGGTATTTTTTTCACACACTAAAAATTACAGTTCAGATAGCTATTGTTTAAAACAAGGTTCAAAATGAGTAAACACTCTTTAAAACAGCTAAGTTTAATTGAGACATTTGCCAAAAGGCCTAAAACTAATGAGACAAATATTGCTTCCCCACACGGGGTGGAGACCGCAGCCTCATCAGCCCCTGAACCGCCCCTTCCAAAAGAGCTTGAGACTGGTTTTGAAGCATCTTACCCCAGTTTTTATTCCTTATTCTTGTTTATCTAGTAGATAACTGACCAACAGAAAGCATATTAAAATTAAAATACAATGATATGCTTTCATTTTCTTGGTCCCACTCGTGGCAATGTCCTTAAATAATGTAGCCTTTGACAGCAAGCATCATTGTTTTTTGGGATGAAAATAAGAATGAGGGATGATGGATATATGCGTACCTTTGAATAAAATCCTGCAGGCGCCCCTGAGTATAATCATTTCTATTTACAACTGATTTTCAACATAGATGGTAAGGATTTTCTCATCCACCTAGATGTTGTCAAGTGACATTTGGATTTTATTTTCTCAAGAGTTTAGCATTTGATAAAATTCATAATTGAAAAAGACAGCAGGGTATATGTGATTTGTTATAGTTCCACACTAATAGGTGGCGTTTAGTTTCGCAAGTGTGAGATTCCGCTTTACCCATCTGTGTTTCATTACAGTAATTGCGTGCTTTTACAACCCAAGCATTCACTAATGCTGAAAACCTCCAAGAAATTAAAAAAAGGTCATAAAAGTTTGCTGTTCTGGGTCAAGGTGCTATTTATCACTGGGACTTTTCAACAGTGAGTATATACAGTAGTGTTGTATACAGATCCTCAGGGAGGAAACAAATAGCGTGCTATTTAACACGCTCACAAGGGTAGGGCAGATGTGCTTGCATGCAGATGTTGTGAAAGGAAGGTTATGTAAGGTAAAAAAGTGTTACATGTGCAAAGTTATAAAAGGTTTTGACTCCAGGTTTTATAAGCACTTGAATAAACGGATGGATCACTTTCTAGACAAGTCAACCCATGTTTCTAAAAGACTCACGTTTTGTTTTGTTTTGTCTTATAAGCAATATTCGGTCTGTTTGTGTTTTTATGCAAGGGTTCTTATAAAATAACTGCCTCTAAAAAAAAGCTATGTGGTCCTGTTTTAGTTATCATGGAATTCTGTGGTCAAATATTTTGGTATAATGATGTTAAAACTCTCTACATGACTGTTGTCCTCTTGCAGGACATTCCTACAGTACATAGCTGTGCTAGTTTAATCTTTGCCTAACACACTAATGTGTTTTTCTCATTTACCATTCTATTCTATATATTTCAGATGCATTCATTTACGTATTTGTTGTGGATATTTAAAAGCTGTAGTTACCAGAAATTCACCATAGCATACTTTCTGACAATACAAGGATTCCTGTGTTTCATTCAATTCAATTCAATTCAATTCATTTAATCTTTATTTCTATAGCACGTTTACAACGTAGATTGTGTCAAAGCAGCTTAACATAGAAGTTCTAGTAAGTTAAAATTCAAAACTGCGTCAGTCCAGTTTTCAGAGTTGAAGTTCAGTTTAGTTTAGTTCAGGGTGGTTTAATTTTCACTTCTGAAAGTCCAAACACTGATGAGCAAATGCATCGATGCGCAGCTCTACAAGTCACAAACGAAGCAAGCCAGTGGCGACAGCGGTGAGGAATAAAACTTCACCAGTTGACGAAAGTGAAGGAAAAAAAAACTTGAGGGAAATCAGGCTCCGTTGGGCACAAACATTTCTCCTCTGGCCAAACCTCTTGTGCACAGCTGCAGTCTAGACGCCAGGAACTGGAGATCACTGTATGTAATGATAACCTTCATAATTATATTGGTACTCATTGTAAGTAATCTAAAGATAATTTAACATGAAATGTAATATACTGGAAGCTACTCTTGCAGACATCTTGTTAAAATTAAATTACCAAAAAGCATTTAAAAAACTAGCCTATATAAAAAATCTTTTTATCTTTCACAAAGACAACTTTTATCATTTCAGTTTTTATGTCACATTCTGTTTTCTTTGTGTGTTTATAACTTGTTTCGTATTGCTGGTTTGTTGCGTTAGGCCTAACGGAATCTGCGTGCACAGAAATATGCAGTCTTCCTCCGATTTTTAGAGCATCATTGAGTCTCTTTATTTACTCGTGTAAATAAAGTCTGTGTAAATTCAGTTTTTAAATTAATATTACTAATATTATTGACATATTATTATTGATATGAAAATGTTCATATAATTTAATTATCATACACTTTGTAAAGTAATATTTTCTGTCTTTTAGCTGATATATTATATAAGAGACTTGTTTGGTTTACCAATTAAGTAGATCTAATTGGATTTGCATTGTAAACATTAAAGTTGAAAATGTATTATTTTGTGTATTATGTTTTTAGTCATGATACTTCCAAAATGATTCTGCATAAACCCACAGATTTTTTACAAAATTCTGTGCAGAAATAGCAAAAAAATGTTTTTTGGCCCTACTCATTGGTTTACTTATTATCCAATATGTGTCTCTCTTTACTGTATGTTTATGTAATTTTACTGTAATTTTATAATATTGTAACCATAGCAATGAATTCATGAGACTGTAAAATTCCGTCAGTGAAAGTGTGCAAGGAACCAAACTACAAATAGTATTCTTAGCAGTGATTCATCTAAAGTCTTGCTATGCAGATTGTAATAATAAGTTGTAACCACTAGAAAATCACTGTAAGGTCATAATTAAGAGTTGCAAACATTTCCGAAATATAGAGGTGTGTCTGAGAGAAACAAAGCAAAATGGATAAAGCATTCACTCACAGGTCACTTTATTAGGTACACCTGTCCAGCTGCCCGTTAATGCAAATTTGAAATCAGCCAATCACATGGCAGCAATTCAATGCATTTAGGCTTGTAGACATGATCAAGACAATCTGCTTTAGTTTAAACCGAGCACTAGAATGGGGTAGAAATTTGACTTTGAACGTGCTATGGTTGTTGGTGTCAGATGGACTGGTCTGAGTATTTTAGAAACTGCTGATCTACTGGGATTTTCACGCACAACCATCTCTAGGATTTACAGAGAAGGATCTAAAAAAAGTGAGCGGCAATTCGGTTGATGCCAGAGGACAAAGAAGAATGGCCAGACTAGTTCCAGCTGATAGAAGGGCACAGTAACTCAAATAATCACTCGTTACAACCGAGGTATGCAGAAGAGCATCTCTGAAAGCACAAGATGTCCAACTTTGAGGCGAATGGGCTACAGAAGACCACACAGGGTGCCACTCCTGTCAACTAAGAACAGGAAACTGAGGCTACAGTTGGGCAATAGAAGATTGGAAAAACATTGCCTGGTCTGATGCTTCTTGATTTCTGCTGCGACATTCGCATGGTAGGGTCGGGTAGGGCAAAAGGGGGTCTAACTCAGTACTAGGAAGGTGTACCTAATAAAGTGGCCGGTGAGTGTACTGATAGTAAATTTGTTGAAATATTTTGAATTTTATTGCCATTTTTGTGCAACTATAATACAGTTTATGAGTATTCAATTTCCATTACCTTATTAAACTTAATGTGCAAAAAGAACATTACCAAACACTTGAATGCATGCTTAATTGTTACAATTCTCAATGCTAAAAAACACACACGCACAAACAAAAAATCTGATGCAAAGTGTGAAGATGTTCACTTTAATCTGTAGAGCTGTAATAGATTTTGTTTAATTGTTTAATTGTCTCCTTATCTTGACTTTGTGGGAACATTCTGGTTACCAACCCCCTGCTGATTTCCAACCCTGTTGTAATGGGTGTCTGTGTTTGCCATGTGTTCTCCAGGCCACGAGGAGAATCCAGATAGTCTCCGGCACAGATATAACTTCATCGCTGATGTGGTGGAGAAGATCGCTCCAGCTGTGGTTCACATTGAATTATTCCGCAAGTATGCATTCTGAATAACACACTTCATCAATCAATCATCTCATGTCTCCCAAAGAACATCTTAGTCAGGTCTAGCTTTAAAACAAAATGGATGATTTCAATTTTCTGGACTGTTTTTCTGTCACTTTCATAACACTTACAAGCTGTTGTTCTTTTTAGCCGTCTAATAGCCCTTTATCATCAATTTCAAATGAAAAATTGACCAATAATTCATTGACAAGAATGTCATTTAGTCATTTAAAGTTTGGATCATTTTACTGACTCAATTTGCCAAAATATCATTATAATGTTCAAGATGCTTCCAATTACATTTACAAACAGTGATCACACTTCAAACAAGTCATAATTAGAATGCTATAAGAGAAAATAATCATTATTGCCATTTTAGCTGGGTCTTTTGTCTATGATTAGCTCAGATCACCACTTCTGACAAAACAAAACTTCAAGTTGAGTCATTCATTCAAGTTACAAAGCACTCACTTATAAGCTTAACCCATGCATGAAGTCTCAGCCAAAAGGACCCATGGTTAGTTCCCTCTTCAAGCCTTTGTTTTTTAAGTCATTAATTAATTCATTCATTATTTGATAGCATGTAAAGATATGAATCAAACCTGAGGACTTGGGAGATGAACGGATCAAATCTTTTTCCAGCTCTGACTGCATATGATATACTCATGTCTTCCAATTGATGAATGAATGACTCAAATCTGAGGACTTGAGTGATGAACAGTTCTTATTTGAAGGGATGCAGCTGTGACTGGAAGTTAATGAGACCTATTTATATTATTTATTAATTTACACATTAATTGTATTTTATTAAAGAACACCTATTTTACCCCTTTTACAAGATGTAAGATAAGTACATAATATTAAATAATACAAGTACGTAAATATTTTTTTTTTGTCTCCAGAACTGAAAAGTTTCAGCTAAAAATACCCATCAGATAATTTATTATCTCCAGAATCTGCCCATTTCGCTGTCTGAATACATTGTACCTTTTTTTCTAGCCTGTGGTTTTAAATCCAAATGTGTTGCTTCTCCCTGCCCACCACTCCTGCGTACATGTCTGCTTCTCATCATGCTTTATGTCAGATAAACAGCAGTCAGTGATAGAGACAGACTTGGATGAAAGCTGAAATACAGCTCATTAGGCAAAAATACAGAGTTAAGTTTATTTCATGAATTTATGGTAAAGTTTATTCAAGCCTTTCTAAAAGTCTCACACAAATGCCATTTGCAGTACACACACACACACACAAAATCACAGGGATTTGGGTCCAATTTTAACGTCAGGAAATTTTTAAAAACAGACTTGGGTTTATATCACTCCAATATGACAGTGGACACAAATACAGACAGCTCTGTCCAAACAGCTTATAAAAGCTGATCCTTATAGGTGCCCTTTATTGTCTTCCTCTACACCAACCCTAAACCCAACCATCACAGAAGTGTAAGAACAGTAATTATATAGAGTATTATTCATATTATTTATTAAATTGCACAATAAATTGTTTTATTAATACCTACCTACAGCCCAACCCTAAACTTATGCCCCACAGTAATGTAAAATATATGATTTTTTTTTTTTCAAATTCCTAGTTTAACTGCATTGGATTGGCTTATGACATTTCACGTGATGAATGAATGACTCAAACTTGTTAGAAGACTCAAAAAAGGAACCAGTCTGCTACCTCACCTGCACAATGTGTGCCAAAACTAATCACTCCCTGAGAGGACTTATCATTCCTGAGTCACCTAAAATATTTGTTCAAAATGTTCAGCAGCAACCTATTGCTAATGACATTTCATAAACATTTTCCTTAGGGCAACTTCATGTAGTGTGAATTAAAGTTTCAAGCCCCTAATATATATATATATATATATATATATATATATATATTTTTTTTTTTTTTTTGTTTTTTTTTTATATAGAATTCTGTTGTTTATTAAAACCACTTATACTTAAACATTAATTCTTTTAAAGGGATAGTTCCTTCAAAAATGACAAATTTTGTCAACATTTTCTCACCCTTGTCTGAATTTCTGTCATGTGTTGAACCCAAGGAAGATATTTTGAAGAAAACTGAAAAACCTGCAACCACTGACTCCTACACTCTCAGCAATAAAGGTATACGAGCTGTCACTGGGGTGGTACATTTTCAAAAGGTACACATTTGTACTTGAAGGGTCCATATTGGATTGGTTCCCTTAAAAGTATATATTAGTAACTACACATTTTAAGAGGAACACTTTTGTACTTTTTAGGTACTAATATGTAGGCTACCCTTGAGGAATTAATATGGACCTTTTAGGTACAAATTTGTACTTTTTAAAAAGGTACCACCCCGGTAATAGCTTGCGTACCTTTATTTCTGAGTGTATAGAATATTTTGTCTACTCTGAAAGTTACAAGTTTGTTGAAATATCTTCAGAAAAAAAAGAATCTTATAAAGGTTTGGAATCACTTGAGGGTGAGTAAATAGTGAGTAAATTTTCTTTCTTTCTTTTTTTCTTTCTTTATTTTTCTTTCTTTTTTTTTTTTTTTTGGAATGAACCATAACTTTAAATAACACAATACCTTCATCATTACATAAGAAAGTTTCTGGAATGTACAATTTCAGCCAATCTTAACTTTATGCTGTTGAAATCATACACTGTGGTGAACAATTCACTAAACAACCATCTTGTTTTCAACAAATCATTTGTCAGAGAAAGTGCCTCCAAAGCCTAGCTGGAAAATATGTGTCGGATCTAAAAATGTTGAACGACCATCATTCTTTGCCGTTCTTCTGTGGGAAATAGACACATTATTGGAATGTTTCTCATTTGGAGTAGTCTTCAAAAACATCTTCGCTTTTCTTTCTTAGAAATGTCTTCAATCGGGAAGTGGCGGTGGCCAGCGGCTCTGGTTTTGTGGTGTCTGAAGATGGTCTGATTGTAACTAATGCTCATGTGGTAGCCAACAAACATCGGGTGAAGGTCGAACTGAAGACAGGGACCACCTATGATGCCAAAATCAAAGACGTAGATGAGAAAGCAGACATCGCTCTCATCAAAATAGACGCCCCGGTGAGTGCCAGTTAATATTGTATAGCTCACAGACAGGGTTTTTAGACATTGTGTATAAAGACATTCAGTATGTTCAGAATCGTAGTGAGCTACCTAAATATGAAGGATTTAATGTAGGAAACATCGTAAAAACCTGTCACTCATTCATTACAATGAAATTACAAATGTGTAACATTTTTAAAACATAAAAGAAGATTTTTATGAAAAAAAGACAAAATATTTTACTTCTAGATCCTGGAAATTTGTTCAAAAGGGTCGCACTGTTAACAGATTTGGGTCTAGATTTAAATTTTTAATTAAACACAGAAAGTGTGAGTGCGTTACTAATTTGAAGAACTTTAGCAACTAATTTCCATTATGGTTCTGACTTGCAACATCAGTGCTCATTGCATGTTTATGTGGGAGATGAGAAGACTTGAAGGTTCAGTATGTAAGTTTGACACCCTGTGGTTGAACTAGATATTGCACACCTGGTTCAAAACACATGCAAGCGCAGGTTGCCAGATTAACAACATCAACAGAAGTGTGCCTAACTATCGAGCCTAAAGGCTGATTTAAGGCAGATTTTAGTTGTGTTCTCAATAAAAGCAATGACAGCCTGATTAGAAGGAAAACTTTCCCTATTAAAATGAGTGGTTTTCTTCTAACCAACACCTGAAATTTATATTTTAGAAATGGCTTTTATTTCTTGCAGCTGAACAACAGGATAAACTGGCAATGTTTACCTCAGGTACACCTTATGTGCATTCAGTGTTAAATGCTAATAATGTGAGTTTGAATTTCATTTTACGTGACATTTATTGTCAATACTACTACAAGCAGCAGCAGTTTACTTTGGATTTTGAAAATAAAATACGTTAAACCGTTTGAAATCAGTGCAAACTAACACATATCAGTGATTTAGCATCTACACTTAAGAATGTTAAACAGCTTTAATATGTATTAATTAGATTAGAATCCTTACAAGTTCGTTGGAGTGCAGTAAGCGCACAATTCTTTGGTTCTGAATAGCAGTATTTGTGTTTGTATTTGACAATGTCTGATGCGGAAAAGCTTATTCTTGCTTTCATGACCTGTCTGTTAGACTATTGTAATGCAATACTAGGCGGTTGCCCTGCTGGCCTAATAAACAAACTTCAGCTAGGTCAAAATGCAGCTGCTGGAGTGCTTTCTAGAACAAAGAAATTTGATCATATTAATCCAGTGCTTTTATCATTGCGTTGGATCTTTATTAAATATCGTATAAATGTAAAAATTTTATTGACTACCTACAACGGCTTAGCTTCCCAGTATTTGAGGGAGCTCCTGGTGTATTCAGTTTCCTACATTATATAGTTTTCTAAGAACTAACTAACATTTTTGAACTTTAAACAAAGTTGCAGCTTACGAACAGTTTGTACAGTCTTTTCAAGGTTCAATTTAAGCTAAAGTGGTGACAAGGATTCATAATGAGTCTCAGTTAACTTCTGACAGACTGATATCATGCCTAGTCTTGTTTATTGAGCATCTGAGATGGTTTCTAAAATAAATTGATGCCTGTCTCTTGACTCTGGTACAAACAACAACCTTATCTCATCAAATTTTCCATACTTCTGTATCAGAAGTATCTCTTACTTATATAAGAGAGCTAGATCTAGATAAACATTGTTGAATTGCTTCACTAAACAAGACAGGCTTCACACCCAGGCAGAGTCAGGAAACACATGAAAGAGCATTTTGACATAATTAGACCCCAGACACAACAAATTAAACCCATCATGTTTTAGCGGGGGTACATAATTTGCAAAATTCTGCACATTTGTCAAAAACATAAATTTATAATAAGGTAAAATTAAATGCTGCAGGCAGAGTAATGTTACAAAATGTATTTTGAAGAGTATTTTTAAGCCAGAATTTAGCTGTTTAATTGTTAAGATGTGGTTTATATTTAATGTTAATTCCTTACAAATGTGTTTAAATGGTTTCTGATGTCCGTTCTGATGACAGGATCAAAAAAACAAGTCAAAAATGATAATCAATTTGATCTCAAAATCTTGACATCCACACACTGATGCTCTTTAAGAATTTAGGAAACATTTCATTCATCTAAAACCTCCAATTACAAAATACACATTTACACTGGATTTTGTATTCCTACAATGCATGTAAACTACCATAATGTAAGAATCAAATTGAGATCTAATATTGGCTTAAAAAACACGACGTGTTTGCATGTTCTCCCCATGTTCATGTGGGTTTCCTCCATGTGCTCCGGTTTCCCCCACAGTTTAAAGATATGAGCTATACATGTAAGTGAATTGGGTAAAACAAAAATTGCCTTAGAGTATGTGTGTGAATGTAAGAGTGTATGGGTGTTTCCCATTACTGTTTTGCGGCTAGAAGGGCATTCACTGCGTAAAACATATGCCGGACTAGTTGTTGGTTCGTTCTGCTGTTAGGAATAAGGAACTAAGCCAAAGCAAAATGAACAAATGAATATATGAAACTTTGCCATAAGCAAAAAATCTTTGCTCTGTAACAATTAAGATGAGAGCATGCATTGTTTATTAGATATAAAAACAAACTGGAAAAACGGTCTCTTGTGTTGAGCGGGTGGCAAATTCTAGACGAAAAGGCCTGAATAAGTGCTATTTTTTACTAATAAATTGCTTATTTAAAGTTTGACCTATTGCTTTATTGCCTAAAAACTCATTCTGGGACACAAATATAGTTGTATGTATAGAAAATTATTACGTCAACTCTTTGAAAGAGTTGTTTTTGTTTGCTGGTAATTTGCATAAATTTAATGGAATGTTGAACTATCCAATCAGCATGCAGGACGAAACTATTTTATAATGCTTTGTATACACAGGCTTAAAGTAAAGCCTTATGAAATATATGAAAGCTGTCATAAGCCATGATCAACTGCACAGGGGGAGTCCAGTTATAAAGTGTATACATTTATACAATTCTGTTTTACTTAAAATACATCAAGGACTGCATCACATTGAAAATGCCTTAGTGATGCTTATCTAAACAATATGAGTGATGTAACTGTTTGGTAACAGTTTTTGGCCTTATGCTGGCAGACTGCAGTGCCACGTCTCTGTAACTCCTCTGCAGACTCTCCTGCATAACACCCCCCTCCTCTCTGGCTCAGGTTCTGCTTAGTCACTGGCGTATGTGAATAATTTATATTGGGTAACTGTCTCATATTCTTTTCATCTTTAGTTTTATGGTGGACTGTGGTCAATTGGTTCAATGTTAGAATACCCTTTTATATTAAAAATGATTTGACAGAACAGATGTGGGAAACATTTTTAAATACGCAGCCGGGTTTTCACAGTGACCACCTTGTTTGTCTGGTTATTTTTGGACGGAAGTCATTTCTAAACTCATTACAGATGATTTTCTGTGTCAAGAGACTCTGAATGGATCACTTCTCTTGAGAGCCGAATCTGCCATAATTTTTTCGCTTGCACCTGTTCTTTCTGTGCTACTTGATCTAATCTGACTCTCATGTTGTTATTCCCAGCAAATTAGTCAATTGCTCAAAGCGGATAGAACATCAACATCACTTTCCACAAACAGTCTGAGAAACTTGTTGACCTTGTTTTAGACAGCTTGTTGAATGTGATGTACCCATATCTTGCATCTGCATTTCTGCACACAACAATTTCACAGCAATCATTCAGGCCTTGTGCATTAGTATTTTGTAGCAGAGTTACAAAACAGTGCTTCGTGGTGGAATTCAACGTAAAAAAAAAAAAAAAAAAAAGAGTAAAAATGTACCAGTGTCAATGCAAAAATTCTGCAATAGATCAATGTAGAAACCCTTTTGTGCATGAATAACTGTGTAAATCCATACATCTCTCTCTCTTTCTAAATCTATCATCAAGAGCTTAGTTTTTTTGCTGGAAGTACATTTCAAGAGTTCGCCCTCAGCTGATGGTTGATTATGGAGCGTGTTTGGCATGCTGTCTCGGGAGAGAGCCCTGAGCTCGGATCTCAAGAGTCTCGAGAACTCCCCTGCTTGATAATGTTGGAAGTCTATTATAATGCTATGAAATGGTCATGCTGTCAATTTAGATTTGTCAATTTACTTATGTTACATATTTTTGGTCTGTGGGAGGAAACTGGAGAGCCCGGTGAAAACCCATGCAAACACGAGGAGAACATGCAAACTCCGCACAGAAATGGCAACTTGGCCAGGTAGTGTCTGAGCCTAATAATTATGAACACACACTCACCGGCCACTTTATTGCCTTCAGAACTACATATTCCATATAACTCCATATTGACATAAAAGCATCATGCAGTGGCTGCAGATTTGTCAGCTGCACATCCATGATGCAAATCTCCTGTTCCACCACATCCCAAAGTTGCTTTATTGGATTGAGATCTGGTGAGTGTGGAGGCCATTTGAGTACTAATTGGCCGATTGGTACTAATGGGCCTAAAGTGTGCCAAGAAAATATCCCCTAGATTATTACGCCACCACCACCATCAGCCTGAAATGTTGCAGGATGAATCCATGCTTTCATGTTGTTGATGCTAAATTCTGACCCTACCATCCAAATGTTGCAGCAGAAATCGAGAGTCATCAGACCAGGCAACGTCTCTCCAATCTTCTATTGTCCAATTTTGGTGAGCCTGTTTGAATTGCAGCCTCAGTTTCCTGTTCTTAACTCACAGGAGTGGCATCTGGTGTGGTCTTCTGCTACTGTAGTCCATCCGCCTCAAGGTTCGACCTGCTGTGTTTTCAGAGATGCTCTTCTGCATATCTCAGTTGTAATGCGTGGTTAATTGAGTTACTGTTGCCTTTCTATCAGTTTAAACCAGTCTGGCCATTCTCTTCTGACCTCTGGCATTTGCGCCCACAGAACTGCTGCTCACTGACCCTAGAGATGGTTGTGCGTGGAAATCCCAGTAGATCAGCAGTTTCTGAAATACTCAGACCAGCCTGTTTGGCCCCAACAACCAATCAAAGTCACTTAAATCTCCTTTCTTCCTATTCTGAT